GGGCTAAAGAGGAGGGTGAAAGTAAAGTGGCTTTGAAATATCTTGGCTTAGTCAGCTCTCTGGATCTAAGAGGTAGTTTCGGGCTGACTGAAGAGGAAAAGATATGAAGGGTAGATTCAAGATTCAACTTGCCCCTTATTTAAAGGAGGAGGAACTGATGTGGAGATAGAAATCAAGAGAGAAGTGGCTGGAGGAAGGGGACCGCAACACAAAGTATTCCCACGCTTTGGCCGCTCACCGACGCAGAATTAATTTCATAGAGGAGATTATTATAGATAACAAGAAGATTGGGGGGAATTTTGACATGCGAGAGGCTGTAAAAGAGCATTTTACAAATCTGTACTTGGAACCGCATGTTTGTTGGCCGAAATTGGATGGCTTGCCTTTTCTCAGTATCTCTGCAGAGAGCAGACAACGCCTGAAAGAAGACTTTACAGCTGATGAGATTCTTGAGGGGCTAAAATCCTGTGATGGTAATAAAGCATTGGGTCCCGATGGTTTTAACATGATTTTTTTATAGAGTTTCTGACATTTGCTTAAAGAGGATATATTGGCTGTTTTCAATGATCTGCACAAAAAGGGTAAGTTAAATCTTTAAATACTGCATTTATAACTCTTATACCCATGAAAGGTGGAGCATGTGAATTTAAAAATTTCAGACCTATTAGCTTGGTTGGGTGCTTGTACAAGCTAATTGCTAAGGTGTTGATTAGAAGATTAGTTAAAGTGTTGGGTGAAATTATTGGTGATTGTCAACATGCTTTCGTTGGTGGTAGGCAAATCCTTGATGCTGTTTTTGCTGCTAATGAAACGGTTGATGAGTTGAGTAATAATAAGGATAGGTTGGTGTGTAAACTTGATATGGAAAAAACATATGATCATGTGAATTGGTACTTTGTGGATTACATGCTTTAGAAGATGGATTTTGGCAAAAAATGGAGAGATTGGATGAAAGCGTGTATCACCACCATGTCTTTCGTTGTTTTGGTTAATCCCCTTAAAGTTTTTTCATGGCTACTAGAGGTTTGAGATAAGGTGATCCTCTCTCCCCTCTCTTGTTTATTAATGTGATGGAGGCTTTCAACGGGTTACTTAACAGCACACGAGTAGCAATTAATTAGGGGTGTGTCAGTGGGGAGAGAGGGGCTGTCACTGAAGTTTCTCACTTATTTTTTGCTGATGACACTGTTATTTTCTGTCAACCGGAGTTGAGAAACATTCTGCACTTGAGATGTGTGCTTTTGTGCTTTCAGGCTGTGTCCGGTCTTTAAATTAACTTACATAAGTCTGAATTGGCAAAAATTGGTGGTAGTGGAGATGTTGGTTCTTTTGCTGCGATTATGGGGTGCAAAGAGGTAGAATTTCCATTTAAGTACCTTGGCCTTTCTCTTGGTGCTAAGTACAAAGATCAGTTATCTTGGAATCTGGTGATTGAATTGTTTGAAAGAAGACTTGCGGGGTGGAAGAAGAATTTTCTTTCTAAAGGGGGGAGATACACTTTAATTAAAAGTACAATGGCTAATCTCACTATTTACTTCCTATCGTTTATCACTATCCCCGTTAAGTGGGAAGATGTAAAAAAACCTATCAATTTTGGGGGTCTTGGAATTAGGTCTATGGTCAACATGAATATTGCTTTACAAGGAAAATGGTTGTGGAGGTACTTGACAGAAGTTAATAGCTTGTGGAGAAAGATAGTTCATGCTAGATGGGGCATGTATATGGATAGGAAAGAAGACACATCGAAGAAGTTTGTGGAGAAGAATTCTGATGCAATGGGGCAATTTCCTGCATTGTATAACCTGGAAATTGGGAAGAGGAAATTGGTTCATTTTCTAGGAAGACGATTGGATTAGGGATGTCTGCCTTTGCAGATGGTTCCCCAGAATTTTTGGCATTGCCCAGTCTAAACAGATGGTAGTTGAGGAAGCTTACCGAGTTGCTAATGGCAGTATTGTTTGGGAGATTAATGTATGCAGAAATTTGAATGACTGGGAGGTTCAAGAGTTTGAGGATTTGTTGTTGTTGTTGGCTGAGCTGTCTGTTTCTAATTCTGATGACTGGGCTGTGTGGAAGTTTGAAAAGAACGACGTTTTTTTTGTCAAGTCATATTATCATCATTTGAATAGAAAAGAGAATGTTTTGAGATGTAACTTTCCTGCCAAGCAAATTTGGAAAACCAAGGCTCCGCCCTGCATTGCCTTTTTTGCTTGAAAGGCTTGTTGAAAGAGGATTTTAACTATCGACAAGCTGAGAAGTAGAGGAAGGGTGCTCATTAATGGTTGTTATTGTTGTTTAAATGCAAAGGAAACATGTAACCTTCTCCTTTTTTGGTGTCCGATTGCTCATAGTTTTTGGAGCTTTGTTTATGGCCGTTTGGGTGTGGATTGGGTTATGGTTGGGTCTGTGGAGGGTGAAATCTGGGCGTGGGATGGTTTATATGTAAAAAATAAGATTGCTAATTTGATATCTCTGTCTGTTTTCTAAATCATTTGGAAGGAAAAAATAGTAGAGTTTTTGATAGTGTTAAGAGTAGTATTTTTAACATAAAAAATAGGTAGTTTCATTATTTTGGGTCTATTTTGTTTGGTCATGACATTATCAGTGATATAGATTTTTGGAATGTTATTAACATGCTAACATGATTGTAAATTTTTTGTAAATGGGCGGTACCTTGTCAATATATACTATACATTTTTATCTAAAAAAAAAAGGGATGATCACAGAGAAAAAGCTAATATATGATTGGATGAACTAAGTAATTAACCATTTTTTGAGTGATATAGAAATGAAGGAATAGTAGGGGTTTTGAAGGAATTGAGGTTGAAATGCATAGAGGATTAGAGATAGATGGTTCTATTATTTTGAGTATATTTTGTTGGGTCATGACATCAATGGAGATGAAGATTTTGTGAATGTCATAGATTCTTAAACACAATTGTTAATTTTCTGTAAATGGATAGTACCCCCTTGGTACTTTGTTAATATATATACTTAATACTTTTTATTTAAACAAAATGCTTCAATGAACTAATAGATGTCGTGAATGTTTGCTTCTATTGGTTATAATTTTAATTGAGGCCTACACGCATTTCCTCTCTCCTAACTCTTCTGTCTCCCAGTTGTAATTTTCTTTCTCCCTTCTAATGTACCTCCAACTACTTATTGGGTTTTCCTTAACAGGGTGTTGTAAATTAATACAGCCACCTTTTTAGGCTTTTTTTCTTATATCTAAATTGTCAATTATTTTTCATATTGACATGTGTGCATATCATGTAATTGAAGATAAGCCTTGTATTCTTTAATTTCTCTGTATTGTAGTGAGAGCTTTAACACATACAATGTTATTAAAGATCATATATGTTTCCTTGAAATCATTCTTCCAGAAATTTTTCTTGTGTGATCTTGCAGTAAGGTCTTATGGAACAGAGGGGAGGAAGAAGGATGGTTTGGAAATTCCACCGAGTAAGAAGATGTATGAATACATTCTATTTCGTGGAAGTGACATTAAGGTATGTAAGATTTGGTTACTGTTCTATTTGATCTATCATTTTCTTTTCCCATTTATTTTATTCTCTTTACACGTTAGTAATGATCAATTTGGTAAATGTATGGTTTGTTGTTTTCTATTTCTGTTATGTCTTTCCTCTCTAGGATACGTTTTTTGGTCTTCCGCTAATCTCTCAAACAATGCTGTTGCCAATTTGGTGAATGTATGGTTGCTGCTCGAGTGTGCTGCTGTGATGCTTGAGTGGCCGCTGCTGGGATGGATTGCTGCATACCCAAGCTACCTCTGCTGGGTTGGTGAATGTACGGTTGCTGCTTGAGTGTGCTCTTGTAATGCTCGAGTGGCCACTGCTGGGATGGATTGCGGCATACCCAAGCTACCTTTGCTTATGTGCTCTTTATTTGCGCCCGAGGATTAGCTGCTTTACTATAATCTGTCTTTTAATGGTTGCTGGTTAGCTGCCACTGATAGCATTATCATGCAGGCTTTGGGAAATTTTAACAGATACAAATTTGTACTGAGCTTTCAGGGTTCTGCAATCTTGGATTTGAGGTTTTGGGAAAATTCTGAAAAAAAATTGCAAAAAAAAAAAAAAAAAAAGATTTGTGCAATGTGAGACAATTCATGAGTTCTAAGTTGAAATTTGTGATGGAATTATTAAAAGAAGTATTGAAATAACAAGATTTTCTTTTAAATTTAGTTTTGTTTTTTACGAGGATTTTTTACAAGAATATTATTGTAATTTAACATATCTTGTGATATATCATAGTCGTGTTAAGTGTTTTAAACAGTAGCTGTTCATTTACTTAATGCATCTCCAGTGGATGATATAGAGCTTACTCAATTTGTGTTTAGCATTCTAGGAATTTCTCTGGCACGGGTTTTGCACACAAAATCTGGAAAGCATTTTTTTTTCCACCCTTCATACTTAAGTGATGGATGGACTGTTACCCAACCAGATTTATGCCATTCTCATCACAACTTTGGGAGTGGAGAATATGTTTGCACTTTTGCTATAATGTCGCAACTAACTGAATATGGCTGCTTCTTGCACTGCCACTTTTCTAGTTCCAGCTTCAACCATTTTATTTCTTTTGGTTTTTGATTCTTGTGGCACTTCTATTAAGTAAAACTGTTATTGATGCATATGAAGTGCCACAAAATTTAATTTTCCTTCTTCATCGAAGCATATTCACCCATTCATGCCTTTCCTTGCTGCCATTCAGATATTAGATGATTCTTGTGGCATTTTTATTAGTCCAACTATTATTGATGCATTTGAAGGACCATAAAATCTATTTCTTTTTCCTCGAAGCATTTTCACTTATTCCTGGCTTTCCTTGCTGCCATTCATAGATGATGAATCACTGGCAATTATGGTTTCTCATGGATAACTAACTTGTTTTTAGTATTTAGGCATATGATATTGATGTCCTACTGCCAAGGTTCCATTTCCCATTAATAGGGTATGCCAGGACGGATGCATATTTATATAATCTGTCATTTTATAAATTGTATTAAGATCAAAGTATGTTTCTGATCCAGGATTTGCAAGTGAAGACCTCCCCGCCTGCCCAACTAGAGGAACGGGTTTATGATGATCCTGCCGTCATTCAGGTATTATTCCATTGCTTTCTTGCATGTGCCCTGGTTATCTTTGAAATAATAAAATCCATTCTAGTGCAAATGATGCTGGGGTCACTTCTTCACCATCATTTTCAGTTTGGTGCTAGAAGCTTGATGGAGACAATGCAGTGGCAGGATACACCTCCTGTGGCCAGTCTAACTTTACCACGGTTTACCTCATTCTTATCAATCTCAAGATTGCCAAAGATAAATGTTTGTTCATCCCATTCCACACCATTCCATCAGCTAAGTGAAATGAAAAACTGATCAGTATTTTTCATGCTCTGCAGAAGCCTATTCCTTTTCTATCCACATTAATTGTATCATCTCCAATGACAATGCAGAATTTTAAGCAAATGCCTGACATAAATGCTTCACCAGTTATGGGATTAACAGATGCCTCTGGATGTGTTCCCCCTTTATCTTCTATTGCATCTCCTTCTATGTGCCCTAAGTTTACACCTGCTATTGCTCAAGGACAGTATTCTGCTTCTGATGTTTCATTCTCTCAATCCATGGAGGCATCGGTGCCATCTCATGCATCTCACATCGGTGATGAAAGTCTACCTTCATCATTGTTTCTTTCAAAGAACACAGTTGATGCTCAGTTTGTTAGTAAAACTATCTCTGACCACCATACTTCCAACCCTGAATCAGTTTGTCAAGCTCCATCAATGCTTTATAATGGGTCATCTTCTGCGAGTGCTGTTTCAGGCCCATTGTTAACTACAACCACATATTTTTTAGCTCCGCCACAGTTTAATGTTAACTCCTGATCAACTAGTGCAGCCT